AGAACTTAACATAAGTTATTGCTGACAAATTCTTTTGAAATTGTTGTACATTTAAATTACTATTGAGATATATTATTGAAATTGTAATTTTACTTGAGATACCAAGGGCAAATTAGTGAATACTAATATGTGATCATATGATTCTCATATGATCACTGTCAAAATATTCATAGGATTTATACCTGAATAAAACAAGTGCAAATTAGTGAATATGGTTTCATATGATTCTCATATGATCAGTTTCATATGATTCTCATATGACCACTGCCAAAATATACATATGATTCTCATATGTAGGACCTTTCATATGAGAATCATATGTATATTACTTCATATGATTAATATATGCATGATCATATGATTTTCATATGATTGGCCACATATGATTCTCATATGATTGTATAAACATATGATTCTCATATGATCCACAAATGATCTTCATATGAAAGGCAATGTCTATGTGGATCATATGTGGCTAAATTGCCTATGTAGAACCTTGCATGATGGTCAAACTTTCAGACCTTCTTCAGATAAGAAAATCTATTGTACTAAAGAAGCTAACAATTGCAACAATTAGACCTATGCAACCATGATTAATTGATACTTATTAAGTTAAAGGCAATTTGTTTTAAATTAGCAAAATGTTTTTTCTCATATAACTTATCTCGTACACAGGACAGATTTGAGTCCGTATTTACAGTGCAAAAAATTAAACTACATGTATAAGACTTTAATATTATGCTCGTTAACTTTAAAAATGACGCACATATGTTAAATTGAACGTAAAGATTTCTTTGCTTTTTCCAATACATGAATTTAGAAGATTGAATACTGTGAAATCAATAATTTTCGTGGGGGTTTATTTTCGTTGTTTTCGAGGTATTGAGAGACCCACGAAATTATGAACACCATGAAATGTAAAATCATATGCATTTCTTATAAACATTCTCCAACCACGAAATCAAATCCCCGCAAACTAATAATTTTTCCCCAAACCTTGAAAATTGACCAAACATATATGTGATATTACAGTAGATGTTAATTGCATTTCCGTTTTACGCACCTGCAAAATTTTAACTTTCCTGTAAAATTTACTTACTCATACGAAGAAATTGTATTTATATAAATCTGTACAATTGTAAAGTTTTCCCCCTTTTTCCCCATTTATACTTCCCCATGTTCACTCTAAACCGTCCGTCTCATTGTACACATTTACCAGAGCAGGTACATTGGTTGTGGTTACACTTGCCAACTTGATAGTCGTGGCATTTAGTACAGTCGGAACCTTGTTCACATTCGTGTCTGGCGGATGGTGATGATGCTAAATAGAAAAGAAAACTCATGTTGATAATTCATTAGTGTTTCATATGTTAATTAATCACCATTTAAAAAATACTTACTTTCACAAAGACATCGAGAGTGACCGTCCAGGTTAGCACATTGTGAATACAAACTGCTTCCACAACCATACCCATGACAATCATTGTTGTAAATGCAGGATATTTCGGCTATAGAAAAAAAATCGCACTATTATCATTTTTCCTTAAAATCGGACGAGAGAAAAACATTTGATTTCTTTTCAATCACAGTTTTAGTTTTTCCTACTACAACCCCCTTCCTTTTTGTTATTCCAACCAAAACCTTACATAATGGTCAAATTTTCAGACTTTCTTTAGAAAAGAGGTCCTATTGTAATAAAGAAGTAAAAGTTGCAACAAATAACAATGTGCAAACATAATTAGTTGACAAGTATTAAGTTCAGGACAATTCGTTTTAGATTATCAAAATGTATTTTCTTATTGAATCTCTCGAACACACGAAAGATATGAGTCTGTATCTACAGTGCAAAAAATCAAACTACATGTATTTGGTTTCTGATCCATTGATTAATTCCATGCTTGTTAATATTAACTAGTGTTCCAAGCAAAGCATATGTTGCCAGCTTTTAGCTTCTTCGAAGATGTAACTAAATTTATGAGTGGTTGACTAACTATATGCTACTACATGTAGCTTATACAGTATTTCATGCCAAAATGTAGCATGATCGTTCATAAATGCACAAAACACATCCACACATAGTATAAGACCGATAAAGTGTGTCAATAAAAATATGATTCCCAACCCATTTACAAATGCAGGCACAAAAAACTGGTGTCCCACTTTTTTCCAAAGATTATTTTTAATTATTGAAGATGTTCATTGAAAGGCCGGTTGCTCTCCCCCCATTCATTTTTTTGTAAGAGTAAAGGTTAAAGAAAGGTATCAGGGAGAAATATGTTTTAATATCAAAGATCAGTGAGCTCATATAAATGTAAATTATCAATATATTGGCACTTTTGACTTTTTAGTAACATTAACATTTCTTTGATATTTAATATACCCCATGTTCACTCTAAATTGTCAATATCATTCTACACACTTACCAGAGCAGGTACATTGATTGTTGTTGTCGCAGTGGCCAACTTGATACTCGGGACATTTAGTACAGTGGAACTTTGTTCACATTGTGTCTGGCGGATGGTGATGTTGCTAAGGTGAAAATAGAAAACTCATGTTGTTAATTCGATCAATTAGCATTTAATAAATTACATTATGTATATACCGTGTAAAAATACTTACCTTCACAAAGACATCGAGAGTGACCGTCTTTGGTTTGCACATTGTGGATATAAACTGCTTCCACAACCATACCCATGACAATCATTGTTGTAAATGCAGGATATTTCGGCTATAGAAAAAAAAATCGCACTATTACAGTGTATCATTATTTCTTAAAATCGGACGAGAGAAAAGCTTTTGGTTTCTTTTCAATTGCAAGGCAAAACCTTGCATAATGGTCAAATTTTCAGACCTTTTGTAGATAGGAAGACCTTCTGTACTAAAGACGTTTACTGTAGCGCAGGCCGAGCTGCGGGGGAGTCAGCTTTCACTGCCGAGTAACTACATATTTTCTATCCGAGCGGTTTTTCCCTTTAAATTCCTAACTTTGGTATTTGAACGTGTTTAATCATGTATCAAATGTTAGTCAAAGACAAACTAGAAATTCCAATTCAAATTTATTGTATGTACCAAGGGCAAAAACTGAGTACTATAAGAGATATTTTGTTGTCTCAGGCAGCAATTATGGAACACACTGAGTGTGTATAAGAAGTGCGACAAGTGTTTTATGTTTTAAAAGAAACTATCTAAGAGAATACCACCATGTGTCTTAATTTTGTTTAATATTCTTTTATCTTAGATTTCTTTTCTTTTTTTTAAATTCTTATATGTTTTCTATTTCTTTAAAACTGTATTTTACTAATACCTGTCTGTATGTATGTTTAAATGCAGGACCATATTGAAAACTAGCATTGTTGCTAAGTATGTCATCCTGGATAAATAAAGGCTTTATTATTATTATTATTATTATAACTTTCCTCAGAGTTGTTCTGAATCACTAACAAATCCGTAAAATGTTCACTTATTTATTTACATAATTATACACACTATATTACACACACAATAAGTCCACGCTTCACATAAGAAACAATAATAAAATAATCCAATTGAAATATATAAAAAAAATCCTAAAATTCCGTAATCCTTTATATATTCATTCTGATATCTAATGCAACTTTTCTTCAACTACTCTAATAACAACTTTTCTTCAACTCGTTAACTGCCTAGAACTGGTAAGGAAACCACCTCCATTTATGATAAACATAGCCTTCACAAATGTGTCAGAGGAATCCTTCCTCCTCTAGTGGGGAGGCAATAAATAAAATTATACAAAGACCACCCATGATTAACTAATTATCACTATAATTAAAGGACAATAAACTGATCTTGCTTACTGATAGATAAAGCTATTCAGCTAAATGGGAAAATAATAAAATGTAGCCAAAGATCCGGAATCTGAAAATCAACTAGTATAAAATCTGTACATAACAGTTGCAACAATGTGTAAACATGAGAAACTGAGAAGTATTCAGTATTAAGTTATGGGCAACTCGTTTCAAATTAGCAGAATTTTCTTATTGAATCTTTCAAACACACGAAAGATTTAAGTCTGTATTTTAATGCAGTGAAAAAATAAAACTACATGTATTTGGTTGTCTGATCCATTGATTCATTCTATGCTCGGCTCGTTAACTTTAAAAACGACTGACAGGTGACAAGAGAAACGTAAACATTTATTTGCTTTTTTATTATACATAATTTTAAAAGTGTTTGTAGATGTTAATCGCATTTCTGTTATACACATCTGCCAAATTTTTAACTGATGAAACTATATTTATATTAATCTGTACAATTGTAAATGTTGTCTCTATTTATTCTCTATTTAATACTACCCCGTGTTGTCAATTGTCAGTATCATTCTACACACTAACCAGAGCAGGTACATTGGTTGTGGTTACACTTGCCAACTTGATATTCGGGACATTTAGTACAGTCGAAACTTTGTTCACATTCGTGTCTGGCGGATGGTGATGATGCTAAAGTGAAAATAGAAAAATCATGTTGTTAATTTATTAGCATTTCACACATTACATGTATTATTCACTTCGAAAATACTTACCTTCACAAAGACATCGAGAGTGACCGTCTAGGTTAGCACATTGTGGATACAAACTGCTTCCACAACCATACCCATGACAATCATTGTTGTAACTGCATGGCATTTCAGCTAGAGAAAAAAATCGCACTATCATAACCTGTACTCAAAATCGTATTAGAGAAAAGCGTTTGATTTTTTTCAATTGCAGTTTAAGTTTTTCCTACTATCTCCCTTCCTATTTCTCTATTCCAAGTCGGAACCTTGCATAATGGTCAAACCTGTTGTTGTCAAGAAGTTATCAGTTGCATCAATTAACAATGTGCATATATGATTACTGATCAGTATTAAGTTTGTATTTACAGTGCAAAAGATCAAACTACATGTATTTGGATGTATGATCCATTGATTAATTTTATGCCCGTTAACTTAAAAAATGACAGACATGTGATATTCAAAAGTGAACGAAGTAAGCATTTCTTTGCTTTTTTCTCAAACATAATTTTAGATTGAAAAGACGTTGATCGCAATTCCGTTATTCGCTCCTACAAAATTTTAACTTTTCTCTCAATTTTCCCTACTCATATGTGGAAACTCTACTTACATAAATATTTACAATAGTAAAAAGTTTTCTCTCTTTATCCTCTATTTAATGCTACCCCGTGTTCACCTTCAATTGTCAGTATCATTCTACACACTAACCAGAGCAGGTACACTGGTTATGGTCGCTTTTGCCAACTTGGGTGCATCATTGGCATTTAGTACAGTCAAAACTTCATGGCCACATTCATGTGGCCAGATGGTGACAATGCTAAAGTGAAAATAGAAAATTCATGTTGTTAATTCATTAGCATTTCATATATTTTAATCTCACTCTTGAAATTACTTACCTTCACAAAGACATCAAGAGAAGTAACCATGTAGGTTAGCACATTGTTGGATATAAACTGCTTTCACAACCATACCCATGACAATCATTGTAAATGCAGACATTCTGGGCTTGAACCATAATGTAAGTACTTTTTAGATCGCAATTGCAATTTTATTCTTATACCTAAACCAATGACACGTTTAACAGGCAAATAAGACAAAACTGTACAGATTGCAAAGAAGAAGCTTAGAGCTAATTCAATATTGCAACAATTTACCAAGTACATGAAATGTTTGCCTAAGTTGCCTGTTAGTTTATGGTATTTCTTATAAAATCTATATAAAGCATACATCTGATATGATTTCTGGGTTTACACAATGAAGAGAGAAAATGATAAACTAGTCAATTTAAGAACATTTTGGCAAGCTGAAAATACTAGTAAATAAAACAGTTGGCAAAGTAAAATATTATGAGTTGAGGATATTTAAATCAATTCTCTTTCTATATATCAATACCTTTTAGAGGTTCTTTAATGAAAAAAAAAATCACATTTGATATATGTCTGGAGATTCAAAGTGTAGACAAATAATTTTACACAGGATTTATCTTTTTTGTTAGAGCTTTCTTAAAAATGTTTTATTTATAGAAATAGTACCACGTTTACAGTCCTAATTGTACATAAAATATCTGTACACATACCAGAGCAGTTACATTGGTGGTGGATGCACTGTCCAATTTGATAGTCAGAACAAGTGGTGCAGTCAGAATTGTCATTGCAGTGGCTGATAGTGGCAGATGTCGACGCTAGAAAAAAAAGCTATAAAAATTATCAATAATAATAATTATTTTCAATTTTTTACTTCATGTTCTTGAACTCAATCACTTTTAGTTCATGTTTTGTGAATTAAGATACATTGTTGAAGAATTTGGATTGTGATAAAAAATAATTGCTTCTTTATCAGGACTGGGGTCATAGCAGGGACCATTTTATTGTTGAAATAAAAAAATACAAAAATCTTGCACATCACATGTATCTAATATTCGATATTTCACTTAATAAAACAAGATGTCCATTGGCCACATCACTCACCTGAGTAACTTTGTTTTTTTACCAGAATTTCCCCCTTGTAATACTTATTGTAGCCATATACCCCTCCTCTCTCAGGGGTTTACAATTTTGATTTACAATTTAGAATCACACTACCCCATGATATTTCCACATGACTTTTAGTTTTTCTGGCAAATTGTTCTGAAGAAAAGATTTTTAAAGATTTTTCCTATATATTTCTATGTAAAACTTGGATTCCCTATTGTGGACCCGCCCTGAGCCCGGGCTCATAATTTGAACAATTTAGAATCTACACTACTCCAGGATGCTTCCGAAGAAATTTAAGCTTTTCTGGCTCAGTGGTTCTTGGAAAGAAGATTTTTATTTAGAGATTTTGCTATACATTTCTATGTAAAACTTGGATTCCCTATTGTGGCCCTGTCCCGCAGCACAGTTAAGGTTACAAATGAAAATATCGGTGATTTTTTAAGATAAAAAATACATACTTTATTAAAATGAGCGTTTCTTTTTAGGATTTCACTGATATAAAAAAAATGTAATGTGGTTTAAATCTACATGTTTGGGACATTAAGATATTTTTTTTTAAGACTTGTCACGTGATGTCGACGTCAAGAATAATTCTAGCAATTATTCTTGCAGTTTAGAGGTCATCTATAAATTCCAATATTGCAAGGGCATAACCAAGTTAAAAATCTTAGTTTAATTTATAACCCTTTTCAACACTATTATTATGTAGTTTGTGAAAAGTGCTGCGAACCTATTTAGATTCCCTTTTTAAATGGCTAAAATTTAATTTGTTGGACGGCAGGTTGAATATTTTGCTGGACAACTACATTAAATATAGTTATAAATAATTTATTTTCAAGATTTCATGAGGTTCGCGGCACTTTTCATATATCTTAATGCTTCTTGAGTTTAGATGTGAAAACTTGAGGAGATACATTGAGGGTATGTCCTTGCAATAAATCGATTTAATAGGTCCCTTCCTTTACTTTTTCAATGAATCTGCATACAAACACACGACAGTATCAATTGTCCGGAGAATGTACGGAGAATTTATAAATAAAATACTAAAATAGACATCACATCCAAGCTAACGGCCTTTTATTTAATTGCAAATAATATTTTATTTGAGAACAAAAGACAATTTTTCATTGTACAAGATGCGACTTGATCAGCCCCTCGCTGTGTACAAACTGCGTCATTTTTGCGAGATGACGTCACATTGACAAGTGCATTGCGATCGATGCATCGTTTATATACTGTTGTGTGGGATTTAACAAACGGCAAAACTGCCTGTAATAGTAAGTTTATATGTAGTATACAGCTATCCAGCTGTTTGAAATAGGAAATAAGTTCATTTTGTGTTATTTTGAAGACCTTATACTTTGTGTGACGTCATAGTAAACATTTCCCGTACAAATTAGGCCCCGCCTCCTTATTTGAACCTTAACTGTGCTGCGCCTATACCCGGATGTCATGAATTTTTACAATTTAGAATGAACACTACTCCAGGATGCTTCCGCATAAGTTTCAGCTTTTCTGGCCCAGTGGTTCTTGAGAAGAATATTTTAAAAGATCTTTCTTATATTTCAATGTAAAACTTGGATTCCTTATTGTGGCCCCGCCCAGATACCGGTTTTATGATTTTATCAATTTAGAATCTACACAACCCCAGGATGTTCCACATATGTTTCAGCTTTTGTGGCCCAGTGGTTTATAAAAAGAAGATTTTTCATATATATTTCAATGTAAACTTGGATTCCCTATTGCAGTCCACCCTATCCCGGGGGTCATGATCATGATTATACCTTAGAATTTTACTGTAGAATCTACACTACCCCAGGATGCTTTCAAATAAGTTTCATCTTTTCTGGCCCAGTGGTTCTTGAGAAGAAAATTTCTAAGGATTTTTCATATATATCCTAATGTAAAACATGTTTTCCCTATTTTAGCCCCGCCCTACCCCCGGGGGTTATGATTTGAACAATTTAGAATCTACATTATTTCCAGGATGCTTCCACATACGTTTAAGTTTTTCTGGCCCAGTGGTTCCTAAGAAGAAGATTTTTATTGATGACCCCACCTTATTTTTGTATTTTCTTGATTGTCCCCCCTTGTAAGGGGACTTGGCGATTCATATAGAGAATTTATACTCCGCATTACCAAAGGATGCTTTGGAACAAGTTTGGTTTAAATTGGCCCTGTAGTTCTTGAGAGAAAGTTGAAAATATGAAAAGTTTTTTTTCGTTTTTCATTATTTATACATGTATTTGGTTTGCACTATTGGGCTTCCATAGGAACCCCTACTTTATATGTACATAATTTGTTGAAATCAGAAACTTTTTACATGTCTATAAGGAATATTTTATTAAACGTAAGGGACAATTTTCGATTAAAAAATGTTGTCTACATGCTAAAAATGTCTAGGATTGTATCAATTGCTGTGAGCCACTGTCGATCACAGAAGGAGCATTTTGAATCAGAGAAATAAATATACAAACAGAAAGATATCATTCATATATTGATCATTTAATAAATCAGTATTCACAATAATAAGGAAATAACTAAATTTTGACTTCAAATGTTATTCACAGAATTTTTTTTTATTTTTTATAAAATATTGTTAAAACAAGATATGTATGTGAAAAACTGATGCCCCCGTATGGCAACAAATCGAAGATTATTCTTTTCTCCAAATTAGATTCCGTAATTTCTGCAAATTACGAGAGTTGTTCAATAAATAATGTCATCAGTGCTCGAAAAGAAAAAAAACACTCATTTAGATTTAGTCCCAGTGATTTCACTTAGATATTCTCTTTTGATAAAAACTCACGTCCGTAATATTTGTATTCAATTTCTAATTGTTTTTGGAACACATTTTTGAGTATGGCCCTCCGTTTACTGGAATATGGCAGATTGTAAGATTTCCTGTGCTTTTTTTCTTTCTGAAAGGTTTTTTTTTCAAGTTGTGAAAATGAAACAAATCAAAGGTTGAGATATCTTGCGAAAATTGTTTGTGTGACAACAACATTATTTTTTCTGTTTATCCCCAACACTCCTTTACTCTTCATGATCTGTGGATTTGGACACTGTCATGAAGAAATTTAATGTAGTGGATTCCTGATTCAGGTTCCTTCCTCTCATAAACCTTTCGATTTTTTGCAAACATTTTGCTTTCTATAGACTACTCTTGAAATTAAACTGCATCCCCGATAAAAATTTGAACAAAACCACAAATATTTAAGAAAATAGCATATAAAACCTTTTTGTGCTCTTGCAACTCTTTGCTTTTCTCAGGCTTTTGCTGTTTTTGTCAAGTGCATCTTATTGTAAATTAATACTAAATTTGTTTTAGGGTTTAAAGCAATGGATTCAAGTTTTATTATATGTTAAATTTCAGACAAACGTGGATAAGTGCAAATTTTGATTTTTAAAAATAATTGTTAAAAAAACATTGTGAACTATTACCAAGATGATGCCTGTCAAATTTTCTATATGTATTAAAGCCAATCAAACATAATCAGTGATGATTTGCTGATTTTTCGCAAACAGTATATTTGTTGTCGCCCATTTTTGATGCCCATTACATCATGTTTGTTCATTGAAATCTGCGTGTTTATGTGTTAAAACAGACATTGATTGCAGAATTTTTTTACATTTCAATGATATTTTCTTTGGGATTCTTAACGAGTTTTATAGGAGCCTTAATGAAGCGTTAATTTCACTCCAGTTTATTGATTCTTTTCCATTCATTTTTAATGCAG